TGCTTCAGCATGACAGCAAAAAAGATCCCAAAAAGGGTTGGTACGAGGACACAGCCCTGTTTCACTCCGCTTCGGATGTCAAAGGGATCTGATGTTGAGCTGTCAAAAGCTACAGTGTCTTTCATTCCCTCATGGAAGGATCTGAGGATGTTAAGGAGACGAGGTGGACATCCAATCTTAGGAAGTATTTTAAAAAGGCCATCCCTGCTAACCAGATCAAATGCTTTTGTAAGGTCTATGAAGGCCACTAAGAGTGGCTGTTGTTGTTCCCTGCATTTCTCCTGCAACTGTCGGAGGGAGAATACCATGTCAGTGGTGGACCTATTAGCTCGAAATCCACACTGTGATTCTGGATTCTGGATTTCTCCTCTTTTTTTAGTTGCTTTGTTAAATAGCCAGTCTAGTATCAGGAAACTGAAAGACAACAGTCTGTTCTGTTTTCAGTGAAAGCCTATATCTCAATTCGCTACAAAATCCTTACTGTAATTATTTGATGCATGATGCTAAACATCCTGGAGTTTTGGTTTAAACACAGGGTTTGAACTGTAAATCAACAGGAAGCACTTCTCACAGTCTTATTCATACTGTGGAAATTAACCCATTCTCCATTTCCAATATTCTCCTCTTCTCTTCTGGTGAAGAGAACTACTACTTCCACTTTGCTTTCTCATCCACTGACAGATTCTTGTGTATACAGAACAAAACTTATACACCCTCTGCAGGACGGCCTGGTGTGCTCTGGTTCATGGGCTCATGAAGAGTTGGACATGACTAAACGACTAAATAACAACAACAAAAGGATGATAGAAACAGGTCTGTCAGCACATAAATCCTTGTGAACAATTTGTTCCTCCAGCAATGATTTACCTGTGCATGAGGGCAAAGAGGTCCATTCCCCATCAACACACTCTATTGTGTTTGGTCCAGTCATTGCAAATCCAACATCACACTCATATGCCACTTTCTCACCATGCTGATATTCTTCACGAAGTTCACCATAAGCAGGACTGAGTGGACTTGTGGAATTTGGCTGCATGCAAGGGTTGGCTGTTTCTAGAAAAAAGAGAACATCATTAACTTTGAACCCATTTACTCCAAATAAATCTCTATGAGGTTTATTTCCATGTACTGTAGTTATCCTTATAATACAAGCCTATGGACCAATTTCTAATGACTGGATACACTGGATTTCAGTGAAGTCAGATGGTAACATCTAGATGGAAAAGTTTCTGTCTGATTCCTGGGTTGTGAAAGAAGTTGTGCAGGAATTGTCATTATGTTGTTAGCAGATAAGTGTGGAGGAGACCCAAGTGGCAACTTACCTCAATGTGCATTTAAATTCATAGTGAATCAGTCATTTGTTTCTATCTTATGAATGCTACAGTGAACATTACTCTTTATATCTGCTATTGTTTATTTATTTAAAATAATTCGACCATGCCTTTCTCCTCAAGAGGACCTAAGGCAGCTTACAATAGTATAACAAACAATAGGTAAAGGTAAAGGTTCCCTTTGACAATTTTTGTCCAGTCGTGTCCGACTCTAGGGCGCTCATCCCGCTCTTCAAGCCATAGAGCCAGCGTTTTGGCCGAAGACAATCTTTCCGTGGTCACATGGCCAGTGTGATTTAGACACGGAACGCTGTTTACCTTCCCACCGAGGTGGTACCTATTTATCTACTCGCATTTGCATGCTTTCGAACCGCTAGGTTGGCGGGAGCTGGGACAAGCGACGGGCGCTCACTCCGTCGTGTGGATTCGATCTTACGACTGCTTGGTCTTCTGACCCTGCAGCACAGGCTTCTGCGGTTTAGCCCACAGCGCCACCACATCCCTTATAACAAACAATACTGAAGCCAAAAACAATGCATTATTACAATACTTATAAAGAATTAAACAGATATCAAATTAAAAACTAGTGGATGAAAACTATTCTAAAAAGTTGTTAAAAATAACAAAAAAGCAGGAGCTGCATTTTAAAGGCAGGATTTACTGCAAAAAAAGCCTGATTGAAAAGAAAAGTATTTGCCTGCTTATAGAAAAAGAACCTTTATATTTCTGGCTATAAGCCCTCATCGTGAGAAATTCAACTCTTGAACTGTATTTTGAACTATGCTTTCAGTAAGATGGCAAAAACCATCTGCTGCTAATTGAGGGAATAGAGCAAACTCGGTGATTAAGAAGACCCTGGTACAAGGATCCTCCGGAGCAAGCAGATTCCACCCCTGTCCTACTAGTGATGGAAGACCCATTAAGTGTAAATAAAAGCATTCTATACTTCACAATATGTGAGAAGGACCATATATCTAGGGGGAAACAAAGAAGCATCTAATACACATGCTCAGCTATTAACCTGCCCAAAAGAATACAATAGTCTGGGCAACTATAATTTGTTGAGACCAAAAAGGCTTTTGGAAACAACTACTTTCTTTGGAACTTGAACGATGCAAATCAAGAATTCTTCTCTCTTTGGTGAGTATGTATGTGATGTGAATGTGTTGAATGCATGAAACCCCTTTTATTAGAATTGTAATCAATAGGTAATAAAGAGTATTCATTTTGCATTTATTAATGTGCCTTGTGAGACTTTTTGTTGTTTAATATATATATATGGTATTGTTCTTCTTGGGATATAAAAGATCTAGTAATCACTTTTTGTGACATTTATGGGTAAAAAACAACACTTTGAATTGCACCCAGAAACTGACAAGCAGGCAATGGATGGAGCTGTTGTGAAAGGTGTTACATGATCCCTGTAACCAGCTCCAGTTAAAAATCTTACAGTGGCATTTTGGGCCTAATTAATTTTTCAAACACTTTCCAAAGGCAGTCCCACATAGAGCACATTACAGTAATCCATATGGGATGTAACTATTTGCATTCCTGCACAGTGGTCTGAGAAAATACTGAGTTACTCAAGCCCCTTCACCACGACTGCACTGTTGAGTGCAGTACACGCAAATGTCTCACCATTTGGCCATCTTATGAAACTATAAATGAATGCTGTAGTAAGTGATATCACTGTTGATTTAACCTCACTCCTTGGATGGTCTGTGTGACCACTAAGGAAAGACTTCAAGAATCTTTCACAGTAGTTGTACTGCAACAGTTTTCAATATGGCTGGAATTGTGTTATATAACTTACACCTGCAAAGGAGCAGGAAGAATTTTGGTAATTAAAAATGACCTATTCTGCCCCATGACTTTTCCAACTCCTGTGTATCCATTTTATCATGTGGAACCAATGGGAGCCACAGGACAGAAGAAGGGATTCTTTAAGTAACAAAAATATCCCCCTAGTAGATACCATCTGGTGCCAGTAATTTTAGGTAACAGAAGACTTCCTTCTTCCATTACATGGTTCCCATACAATGAAAGGGATTACATGGAAGTTAGAAAAGTAATGGAAGAGAAGTGGAAATTTTAAAATTATCAACAATTGTCCTCTCTGGGTCTTCCTAACACAAAATTTTACTACAGTGGGGTCTTGACTTACAAACTTAATCCGTATTGGAAGGCAGTTTGTAAGTCGAAAAGTTCATAGGTCGAATCTGCATTTCCTATTGGAATGCATTGAAAACCATTTAATCCATATCTGCTCTTTTCCGTCCATAGAAACTAATGGAAAGCTGCTATTTCGCCTTCTGCCACTAGAGGGGGATATTTTTTCTTTTTTTTCCTTAGGTCAAGAAAAATTCAGGAAAGGAGGGGGGAGGCAGGGAACAGTTTTAAAAGCACTTTTGAAATCTTTTTTTTCAACGAAGCCAATTTTAAAGCATGTTTTAAAGCATGTTCTGCTGATTGACCCAGGCTTTGCAAGCCAGAATGCCTCTCCCGTGTGTTTTTTCCCCTTTTCGGTTCATCCATGTTTTCAGTTGGATTTTAAAGATACCCAGCGAAGGGGCAGCATGAATCATCGGAGGGAGATTGTTCCAGAGACGAGGAGCCACCGCCGAGAAGGCCCGGTTTCTAGTTCTTTCTTTCTGGGCCTCTCTTGGCGTCAGGTTCCTCAGCCTCACCTCCTGATTCACGCGGGTTATACAGGTAGACCTTGGCTAACTGAAAGTTCAAATTTAACGCTTTCCCTATGTCCCGCATGTTTTTTTTCGGTTTGTAACTCAAATCTAAGTTTGCAAGTCAAGTCAATATTTTTCTGTCAGAGCGGTTTGTAAGTCGAAATGTTTGTAACTAGAGACAGACACGTTTTGCCATTGCTTGGAATTATTGCAACAATAAAAATATTTACACCTAATTATATACCCAGAGTTTGGAAAAGCTTGCCACTGATTGTCTAGTTTCATTCTGAGATTAACACTTTACTGGGATAATGTCAGCTACTGTGTAACAAATCATAGGCTTTTGTTCTTTGCTTGGGAGATTTATAAATCTCTACTCTGGAGAAGTCAGGCATCTTTATCAGGTTCTGACATTTCCTTAGCTGCACATGACACTATGAATATTTGGGAGACAGCCTGGTGTTTAGCAATACTTGAACATTCATAGTATAGTGTCAGATTTTAAGCCGGTTATCTCATTGAGCAATATAGTCAATGGAAAAATTATAATCACTAAATATTTCTATACCTGCAGCACTGTGATTTTCATACATAAGAAGAGTCAGAATTGCATGGTTGCATAAGGTTGACGTATACTGCCATGGCTAATTGAGAGTAACAGACCAGAAGTTGGGATGGGTCTTAATTAGAGATGGGCACAAAAAAATAGTAATAATAAAGCTGATTGAATCACATCAAGGTCAATGAATCACAAATTTAAATTTGTTTTCTGACAAATCAACAAATTGATTCAGCTTGACTTTAATACCCCATAAAATGGCCCTCTAGCAACTGACTCTGGGAAATCTTTAGCACTCCCGCAAGCCAGCTGCTAAGGGGCACTTTCCTGGGGGGGGACTGAATTTGTGGATGTATAACTCAAATGTCTGAAATCCAATCTTCACCAAACTTGAAAAGATTGTAGAGGAGAGTTGAGAGAAGATTCTCTGTGATTTTGGTGTCCCTAGGTGCCTCGGAGCATTCTATAGTCAATGAACTGACAAATCAAAACTTGCTAAAAATTCATCCAATTGTATTCATGAGGGCCATCACTTCTGATAAATTGTTGTTGTTTAGTCCAACTCTTCATGACCCCATGGACCAGAGCATGCCAGGCCCTCCTGTCTCCCACTGCCTCCCAGAGTTGGGTCAAATTCATTTTGGTAGCTTCAATGACACTGTCCAGCCATCTCGCCCTTTGTTGTCCCCTTCTCCTCTTGCCTTCACTCTTTCCCAAGATCAGGGTCTTTTCCAGGGAGATTTCTCTTCTCATGAGATGGCCAAAGTATGGGAGCCTCAGCTTCAGGATCTGTCCTTCCAGTGAGCACTCAGGATTGAATACAATACTCTGATGAGTACAAACTGATAAATTAGTGATTTTTTAAATGAATTTTCAATTCAGTTTTTTAGTTCATGCCCATCTCTAGTCTTAATTGTACAGGTAGGTTTGTGCCCAGGCACTCAGCTAAGACACACCACAGCATTTCATTAATTAGTAGCCTAAACTAGCTGTGACAGCTTACTCAAATCCTGTGCAAACACAATGATGATTCTCTCCAATAGGGATGTATAAGGGGAAAATTTTCATAGTGCTTTTGTTTTAAGGTCTATAGAGATGCTCCTCTTTTGCTTTTGAGTTCTGTCAGGTACAGGTCCTTTCAGTAAGCCTGAAAATACCCAAAACTTTTGGGGTTTTTTCATGTGGTTTATTGTGGTTTTTGCCACTACTACCCATTAAATCCCACAGAAACCTCAAAATTAGTCCTGGAAAAAAGAAGATCAAGGCAACAGACAATTCTCCACTCCAAATGTGGGCAACAACAACAGTGCATGAGAAAAAAAGCATTCCATCATTCACAGACCTATGCAGGCGCTAATAGTACTTTAAAGTTTTCATTTAATGTCCCCTTATCAGCCTCCTTAGCGAAAAACCCAGCATAGATGAGAATAACAAACCATCACCATGATCATAATAAAAATAAAACATACTGGCACTCACTAAGGGCAATATAATCAAAAGCTGCCCTATCCAAATCTATGGAGGATTGGACAGGCTCTTCTCTCCTACTAATACTTTGACAGCTTTATTCCAGCAGCATACGCTGTAGTCCACCAGGAGAAGGTCAGACCAGCAGGACCTCTGGGCAACAATAAAGGAAATGGAGGGAAATCCCTACAAAAATGAATGAAATAAAATGCAAAAAAGTAGGGTACCCCAAAATACAAATACTGTATGTAAGAGATCCACAAATTTTCTTAACCTCTCTCTCAAAATCCCAGATCTTTTCTATTCCAAAGGTCCTCTATTGTAAAGAAATGAAAGATGCATTAAAAAGAGGACCTCTTTCCCATTTTCCCCATTTCGGTTCACCCAAAAGTCTCACCCTTATCTTAAAATGTTTTTTATAATGAAAAGCAAAGTATTTTGTAAGAGGCTCTAACAGTCTTTCCCAAAATATCCATTTTTCCCAGCTACTCATTTTTTACTTACAGGCGACTCAAGATTAGCTAGACTCAATTCAATTCAGCTTCTGGAGTGCTGACAGCACAGAGAGTGACTCAATCCCCTTAAGAGGTGGAGAGGCCTCTTCCAAGAGAGACAGAAAGGAACAAAACTTGGGGGCACAGTATAAAAACAGGAACTAACACATTGGCTATATAATACATTGGCTTGGGAGACACGGTTAAAAAAAAGGTTTGAAGGGTCCTGCTAAGATTATCAAGGTCTTGAATAGCCTCTGAAATGCTTACTTTTACATTTGGGAGGTTGGGGAGACCATCCGAAGTGGTAACACTGGGCAGAGTCAGGCCCAACTCTTGTGTACCCTTTTGAACAGGAAAATCGCACTACATCTCCATTCACGAACTTGTCTTTTCGTTCCTCCACTCTTCCATTCTCCAGAACAGGGCCTTCACATTCAATGGCTAAAGAGAGTATTTGTTAAAATATGTTAAATATAATGAAATGCATTCAAGAACAAAAGGTCTAAAATCTACCTGCTCAGATTTCAGTTGAATATCAGGAAAAGCTTCCTGTTAGAGAACTTGAATATCAGGAAAAGCTTCCTAACTGTATGGCAGTGGAACCAATTACCGCAAGAGGTGCTGAGTCTCCACATACTTGAGACATTCAGGAGAAATTTAGACAACCACCTGGCAGATATCCTTTCAATTGTATTCCTGTATCAAGCAGGGAGTTGGACTCAGTGGCTTTATAGGCCCTTTCCATCTTCATTAGTCTATGATTGAATATCAGGAAAAGCTTCCTAACTGTATGGCAGTGGAACCAATTACCGCAAGAGGTGCTGAGTCTCCACATACTTGAGACATTCAGGAGAAATTTAGACAACCACCTGGCAGATATCCTTTCAATTGTATTCCTGTATCAAGCAGGGAGTTGGACTCAGTGGCTTTATAGGCCCTTTCCATCTTCATTAGTCTATGATTCTATGATAAGGGGGAGTGGGGCTCCTAAAAACAAATTTACTTCTATAAAGCTATGAAGAATCTGTTCTGGCTCTGAACTCACATATATGATGCACAGAGACCACAACAAAGATTAGCATTAATTTATATTAAAGCTTATTAATGCTTGCTGATGGAATTAGGCTTTGGGTACAGAACAGCCCCATATATTTTAACCAAGACTAAATATTAGAAATTACTGAAAATAGATCTTGCAGAAAATTAAGCTAATGGCTGCCTATGTCACAGCATATTAAGCTAAAAGGTGCTTCTAGAATATTTGAAAGTGCTGGTTCTGAAAAATTATTTAGAATTATTGGTGGGCAAAAGCGATTTCACAGGAATATCAAGGACACCCTACTGCTCTAGCAGGCAATTAACAAAAACAAGACTGATTCACATACATGTGTAGATACACCCTAAACGTTAGAACTTGTAAGTTTGATTAGAAGTTTATTTTCATTTCTTGTATACTGTATTGTTCTGCATTGATTTTATATTGTTTATTCTGCAAAGGCCTGTGTGCTATTCAATCAACTGAATTCGGATTTACTTACACAAACAGACAGGCTTTTGGTCCCATCCATTGTCCGTGCATTGTATGTTGTCACCTGTAGTTTCTTTAACGGTTTGAAAACCGTCTTTACATACATAGCGAAGTATTTCTTTTGAGGAGAAGGTTGGTTTGGTTGTGTCAAAGACAGCATTCTCTTCAGTTGGCATTAGGCATGTCTCTGAGGAAACAAGGGACAGAGATATTAACAATCAGTTCTTTTATTCTCACCAGTCTATGTCACATGCTCTAAATCCTTTTTTAAAAAAACATCTCCAAGATACAGGTAGGAGGAGGGAGTAATGGATGAGATTTCAAGCAACCAAGTTGACAGTCCCTTTTTTCCAGTAGGATTTTGGTGAGAGAGAGAGAGAGAGAGAGAGAGAGAGAGAGATTGAGAGAGAGAGACTTTCATGTGCCTCAGGATGCAATGTCTATCAATATAGTCTTGCCAATGGACACATCACTTCTTCCCTGGGGGCCATTCCATGGGGAAGATACAAAGGGCATGTCAACAGGACCACACTGCACTTTTGGTAAGCAAGTGAAACTTGTTATATTTCTCGTTTCAATTTTCTGCTGTGGAAAACTCAAGCAATTACACTTTTGAAATCTCTCTACCTAAGAAAGATGACACAAGGAACAAAGGGCAGAACTATTATTCCATGTGGGAAAAAAACTATGTGAACAACCCTTGGAGTTTATTTCAACCTGGCTTGCTATCTGCAGTTTCTGTGACTGGGAGGGGCTTGTATGGGCTGCAGTGAATAACTGTCTATCCAGCACTACCAATCATTCCTCCCAACCTCTGAATTCAAAGAGAGCCCTGACTCTCTGCTGAGTGCTTTTCCATCTCTCTTTAATCTGTTGGAAGTACTGTTTGTTTGCTGTTGATCTGCTCAGAACTGTAAGTAATGAAACATTTTTATTCTTTCACCTACAAATATCTCAGAGTGACTTATTGACACATAAAGCGTCAGTTGAAGAGAAAAGGTGCACTATCTTGGCAACTTGTCGCTAGTCTCCCCTGTGAGTCTCTGTAGTTCTACTTCATAACGAGAGTACTAATGCCAGAAATTCAGAACTTCACAATATCAACCATATATTTCCCTTTCTAAAAGAGAATCAGGAGCTATAAAGGGATATTCTTCTGCTCAACATTAATTCTCTGAAAATGTCAGCTTAGACAGATTCAGATTCATTTCCCAACTGGGTTCAGAAGTTGGAAGAAAATTTTGCTAAATATATTGTAGACGTTTCTTACACAAAAGAGAAAAAGATGACCCTTTTTCCTAAAACCATTAGAGTAAAAATTGGGGGTCGTCTTTTACACGGAAGTAAGCCCAGGAGAAAACCGCACAGTTGTGAAACTACCTATGTTTCTGCAAAACATCTGCCTCCAGTCACCAATGAAATTGCCAACAGGTTGTCTATGCAAACAGGCTTCCTCCAATCACAAGCCTTATGTAAATTATGTGAGCTGATGTGGAAGAGAGTGTGTAGGCAGTGTGACAGTGACTGTTAAAGATCAATGAGCCCATAAAGATGTGAGGAAAAAAAGAAAATAAACAAAGGTCTTACTCTGCAAAAGTGAGAGCACCGACCTTGCATTGGTTTTTCCCTCACTGCTGAGCCCTCCAGGTCCCATTGTTTGTGTGAGTTGCCTGAGTCCCCGTCTTTCCCTTTTTCTTGGCTTTGTTTTGGCCATGGCTGCTTGTTTTTCTTTGAGGAATCGGGAGAGTCAAGAAGCAGCCACTGCCATTTTGCTTGTGTATCAGCGACTAAGGGGAGGGAGCCTGCAACAGCTGGGAGGGGGAAGAGCCTGGGAGGGGGAAAGCAGCAACAGGGATTTTTAGCAACTTCTAGCCTTGCTAGAGGAAAATAACAGAAAAGGAAAAACCAGAGATCTGTTCAGGAAAATTGGAGATATTAGAGGAACATTTTGGGCAAAGATGAACATGATAAAGGACAAAAATGGGAGGGACCTAACAGAAGCAGAAGACGTCAAGAAGAGGTGGCAAGAATACACAGAGGAATTATATCAGAAAGTTTTGGATATCCCAGACAACCCAGACAATATAGTTGCTGACCTAGAGCCAGACATCCTGGAGAGTGAAGTCAAGTGGGCCTTAGAAAGCCTGGCTAACAACAAGGCCAGTGGAGGTGATGGCATTCCAGTTGAACTATTTAAAATCTTGAAAGATGATGCTGTTAAGGTGCTACATTCAATATGCCAGCAAGTTTGGAAAACCCAACAGTGGCCAGAGGATTGGAAAAGATCAGTCTACATCCCAATCCCAAAGAAAGGCAATGCCAAAGAATGCTTCAACTACCGTACAGTTGCACTCATTTCACATGCTAGCAAGGTTATGCTCAAAATCCTGCAAGGTAGGCTTCAGCAGTATGTGGACCGAGAACTCCCAGAAGTACAAGCAGGATTCCGAAGAGGCAGAGGAACTCAAGACCAAATTGCTAACTTGCGCTGGATTATGGAGAAAGCCAGAGAGTTCCAGAAAAATATCTACTTCTGCTTCATTGACTATGCAAAAGCCTTTGACTGTGTGGACCACAACAAACTATGGCAAGTTCTTAAAGAAATGGGAGTGCCTGACCACTTTATCTGTCTCCTGAGAAACCTATATGTGGGACAGGAAGCAACAGTTAGAACTGGATATGGAACAACTGAGTGGTTCAAAATTGGGAAAGGAGTACAGCAAGGCTGTATATTGTCCCCCAGCTTATTTAACTTATATGCAGAATACATCATGCGGAAGGCTGGACTGGAAGAAACCCAAGCCGGAATTAAGATTGCCGGAAGAAATATCAACAACCTCCGATATGCAGATGATACCACTCTGATGGCAGAAAGTGAGGAAGAATTAAAGAACCTTGTAATGAGAGTGAAAGAGGAGAGTGCAAAAAACGGTCTGAAACTCAACATCAAAAAAACTAAGATCATGGCCACTGGTCCCATCACCTCCTGGGAAATAGAAGGGGAAGATATGGAGGCAGTGTCAAATTTTATCTTCCTGGGCTCCATGATCACTGCAGATGGAGACAGCAGCCCTGAAATTAAAAGACGCCTTCTTCTTGGGAGGAAAGCGATGACAAATCTGGACAGCATCGTGAAAAGCAGAGAC